GTAAACGGTGCGTTGTCGTTGCCCAGGGCTTCTTTGAGTGGCTCAGTAGGCCGGGCGGGGGGCCCAAGGACAAGGTGCCCCACTTCATCAAGCGCAAGGACGGCCGGCTGATGCTCTTTGCGGGCCTGTGGGACTGCGTGCGCTACGAAGGGGATGAGGATCGGGGACACTACACGTACACGATTGTCACGACGGACAGCAACAAGCAGCTCAAGTTCCTGCACGACCGGATGCCAGTCATTCTCGAGCCCGGATCCGAGGCGCTATGGACATGGCTGGACCCCGGCAGGTGCGAGTGGAACAGGGAGTTACAGGCATTGCTCCGGCCTTTTGAGGGAGAGCTTGAGGTGTACCCCGTGAGCAAGGAGGTCGGCAAGGTAGGGAATAACTCGCCTAACTTTGTGATTCCGGTCGCCAGCAGGGAGAACAAAGCGAACATTGCCAACTTCTTTGCCAAAGGGGCGGAAAAAGGAAAGAAGGCCAAGACCGAGATCGAGGTGGAAGTTAAGAAGGAGAACCAAGACGGCGAGGAGACGGAGACCAAAAAGTTGGAGGAGCTGGAGAAAAGTGCGGACGACGGCGGAATGGGCACGCCAAGGAAAGGAACCAAACGGGAAGCGGATTTGTCCCCTAGGGAAGGAGAACCGTCACCTAAGAAGGGCTTATTTGCCAAATCTGCGTCCCCAGCGAAGGGAAAACCGCAAACACGAGCCAAAATCAGCGCTACGAGCAATGCACCGAGGAGCCCTGCCAAGGTTAAAGGAAAGGCAGACGGAAGTCAGAAGATCACCAAGTTCTTTGGAAATAACGCTTAGGAAGGGATGAATTGGGCTCGGGGTTTAGGATCTGGGAAGGGCGTTAAGGTGTCTGGTCATTCGGCACTGGCTTTTGGATACCCTGCTGATAGTCTGGTGCGTATCATGATCTTCGAGGACCTATGTTCTGCGGACACGAGAATCCTGGATAGGTTCTTCAAAAGACAGCATGTATTATGACATTTCGGCTAACCCTGGCTCCAAATCCCAGTTATTTCGTACGTCTGCGTCATCTCAAAGTGCCCTTTCAAAGTGAACTCGCTCGACTTATGACCCGGCTTGTCGGATTCTCTCAAGCAAGGATTTTCCCTCAGCCAAAGTATGGTTGGATACACCACCCCGAGCGCCACCGGCTCAGACTACTCCAGGCCCGGTGTCTCCGTGTGGTTATAATCAGATCCGCTCGGTCTTTCGCATTCACCCGCGTAACGTCCATCTCTCCAGTCGCTCGTGGCAGCCGGAGAGGACGTGGCAGTGCAGCCCGGTGTTGGCACTGATGTGGAGGTCACGGCCGGCGTCGAAGTTTGCTGGTGATCCGGCCTGGCAGTGTATGGGACGACGCCAGCTAGACTGTAGTCGTCAGCTATACGAGCGTGTTTCATCACATTGTCGCCGTTGACCCTGCGCAAGCGGGTACGATCAGCTTCCTCCGCAATTTTGTGCTCCTGCTCTCCTACATCGTCTAATCACTTGGGTGGAGCGTTTCAGCATACCATCTGACAAGCAGGAGTCGGGCGGGTCATGGAGTTTTCCGAGGTTATCCTCTTCCCATCCATTGTTGTCATCATGTGGTGCGCCAAGCTGGGCGACGAAGTCTGTGGTTGGTAGCTGGGGCATCAGTATACCGAAGAGGTAGCTACCAGGCATGGCATGGGCGTAGAAGCGGATGCCTGTATCGACGTCTCTGTAGCGTGTCCCTTGCGCAGGCACGAAGAGCACACAGGCGAGCAGCAGCGCGCCCAGTGTATTGAGAAGTTGAGGAGCCGCATTATCCACTATGGTGTGTTGTTTAGTGGAGGTGCATACTCGTGGTGGAATACTTCAGGACACCGTCTTTGAGTCTGTGTAGTGATGGGAACCCTGAACATTCTAGGTGGCTTATGATCATGTTGAGGACCTAGAATAAAAGGATAGAAATGCCTAGTTTATAGCTGGCAGGTACTTATGCTTCACAGGATGCGATAATATGACAGCTGAGTACTTACGGCAGAGAACATTTTGCTGGGGCAGCCCCCGTGTTGAATTGAACTCAGGATCACATCCCGGCTATTGACAAAGATGCAATGGCAGATAAATAAAGCGGACACGTGCGAGGAAGGCAAAGACAGCCATTCTTTGGTCATACATGGACATGCAGGATGGAGCCGTCCACAGCCGGAGGCGAATATTTTGTCACCAAGTGAAATGTTGAATTTACCAAAGGGTGATGCGCTTTTGAAAGCACCTTGACCTCGGACAGGTCTTCAAGGATTAGATGGTCCTCCCTGCTCTTATAACATGTCCAGCTGCTGCTCAGAACTTAACTGAAAACATGGGTGAATTTGTAGTGAATAAGCGTGTCTTCTGGGTTCTCCAGAGGCTGAACGGGTCAAGAAGATCATTGATGGTGACTGCCACACTTAGATTTTGGTGTGGTTGAACTCTCTTTGCTGCTGGTTGCTGGACATAATAAGCCAGAGAACTCTTTACTATGGAGGATCCCGAAGGTTGGCACGTTCAAAGCAACCCATTTTAGGGAAACTTTGCCGCTAAATGACAAATCGTAGAGCCCCAGGTGTATTCGGTCCTGCACCCATCCAAACTGCGCATTCCAGGCATAAGAAAAACTATTTACCAAGTTTCATTCAGGTATACACCAACCCCAGCCTGTCCAGCCAAAACCACGCCTCCGCAATCACTCTCCCTCACGGAGAAAACATATACTCAGATGTATGCCTCATAGCCGTGGTTGACGGCCACGCGAGCCAGGCGATCCATGCAAGCGGCGGCATCCCGGCCAGGGAGAAACTAGCGGATTGATCATTGTGTGTGATTAGCATAGGAAATGAACTGTTTCACCTTTCACTTGTGCTTTGATCATATATGTAGAACTGGGGTGTCAAAACAGGGTGGAAGAGTACTAGCACTTACCTTGGCCATTTCAGCAAAATCAATCTCCTTGCATCGCAGCAGCAGCAGCTTGACCGTCTCTTGGTGTGTCCACGCGTCCTTTGCGACGCTCTCGGCGGTTTGTGAAGGAGCGGCAACGACGACGGCGGCGGCTGCAGCAGTTATCGGCGGCGGGACCTGCGGAATCTGCGGGATCTGTGGGACACGCGAGACCTGAGAGACCTGAGAGACCTGAGAGACCTGAGAGACCAGCGGGGTCAGGATTTGAGAGGGCCGACTAGTGGGAAGAGGGGTGCGGCCCTTTGGGGTTTTGGGCATGTCGTTGTTGGGCGTGCGGGCGCCAGTTCGACTGCCATTGTCGGTGTTGGTTTCAATATCGGCCTCGGTGGGGGTGTTCGTTGGCTCTTGAGTCGTCTCAAAGATAGGCAGAGGGTCAGTGGCGGTGCTTTTTTTGTCGCCCTTGGGAGGCTCAGCACTGTGACCATTGTCCGTGCTAGAAAGGTTGTTGATGTCCATATTTCCCGTCATCTCAAGATGGTTGATACTGTCGGGCTTTTGCGTCTCGATAAGTTTCGTACTATTCACCTTGTGTTGCGCTGCATCGCGAGGAGGGCCGTTAACATCCATCTTGTTGCTGCCATCACTAGCGACGACAGCCGCGCCTTGACCCGAAAAGTCGGTTATGTTCTCGCCTAGAACTGATAGAGCAGCTCTGGCAATGGAGGCTGCGTTGATCGGGGTGAATCTAATGGCCAGAGAGTCAAACGTATCCATGGTTTCCTCTTTCGCGCCCTCAGACCTGAAATGGCATGCGTCGGGTTCGCGCATGCGAACGAGAGTCAGATCTTTGCAGGGGGCAAGTTGAAATCTGCACTCAGCGGTAGCCAGGGAACTGGTAACACCGACCAGCTCATCCTGTTTCTTCTCGCAAAAATCAACTCGCTTCAGCTTGCCGGGCGCCGGATGATCGATGCAACGCAGGCACTGGCAATGACCGATAATTCCTTTGCACATGTTGAGCAACGGGATTCGGTAGCTATACAGATCGGTTCTGGGGAAGCTGAAGGGTTTCAAGGGGGAATTTGTCTGGGTAGAAATCAAATATCTAAAGCAGTCCAAAGGGCCAAGAAACTGGAGGCTTTGAAGTGATTGTTGGGAGCGAAGGTGAAAACGGAAACGATGTTTGAAAGAGAATTTGAGCTTGTTAAACAAGAATCGGTGGGCAGAGGCTGAGAATCGAGGGCAAGAAATGGAATGCTGCAAGTTTGGAACAGAGCGATGTAAGCTTCTAAGCCAACGATAACACAAATTGCAAATGGCAGCAAAGATGGGATGAGAACTGCCCAATTTTTCTTGGTGATAACGAGACTGGCCAAGCGTTCTCAAGCCTTTTGTTTTACGTTCCTTTGATGTCAAAATGGGTACAAACCGTCCTTTAACGCTGAGGGTAGCAAGCCATTTGAGCACCGAGTGAACAGTCTTGTCGTCCTTGTCGTCGTCCTTGTCGTTATTGTTGTCAAGAACAACAAGGATAGCAGAGAGAACAAATGGGAAATTTCCCCGGGAGGCTAAGTTGATGACTCTAGTGTTGCGTGTGATAGGTGAGATCCATTATCCTTACAAAGTAGGGTAAGCCTTGGGAGCTGTCATTCAGATCTGAACCCAAGCCACATCTCCCCTACTACAGTCGGTGCCTAACTTACAATTATGCCTTATGAGATCACAGCACAAGTGGGCATGTAACGTACTTTGATGCCCCACCTAGTTATAACACTCGTTTGTTATTCTCATTTCTTGAGTGATATAGAGAGTTTTCAGTCCTGACTGCTTTGGTCGGGGAGAACCTCTTGCTTTTGATGAAGTTACTCGGCCAGGGGTCGTGATGATGTAACTCGCATACTCATATTACTTCCTGTCTTTACACATCATGGTTTACACTTTTTCTCCCTGCACACCACAAGCGTTGGACCGGAAGGACAGAGCAACACACCAACAAATTAAAGGGAGAACAAAAAGAAACGACTAATGAAAGCGTACAACGTTCTGCTGGGGCGGCAAAAGATGAAGCTGTGGTATCTCTCCCGCCGGGAATTGAACCCGGGTCTCGAGCGGAATCTGGGCCGGAGCCCGATGACAAGCTCACATACTGACCACTATACTACGGAAGACTTGTGGGTGTTGACACCCACCGTAGCTTGGTGGGGCTTTCGTTGCCCTAGTTTATGAGGTGGAGATGAAGGTTTTTAGACTGAGTGGAGTTCAAGCCGTTGATGAGCTAAAATCGGACGGAGTCGACGAGCAAGCGCCGCTAGAGCTTCGAATCCACAACTCCACACCATGCCTTACACATATTGCGTACATTGTACTTTTGCACATCGCACACATACGTCTCAACACACCAGAACTGGTATGGGGGGAGGTTTACTTAAAATTGTTCACAGACGAATGTTACATTTTGTTCAGTATTCAACCCAAACCCCCTTCCCCCCCCCTTGTCCGCTTTACCCTCCTGACACGCTCAAGAATTCCACAGGATCCTTAAGACCGCAGGGCCAGGATGCGCTGCGCAGCCTGCTCGGCGACAATGACGATCATGGCCGAGGGGTTGCCGGTCGACATGCCGGGGAAGATGGAGGCGTCGACGACAAAGAGGTTGTCGGTGCCGTAGACCTTGGTGTCAAGGTCGACGACCGAGGTACCGCCGTTGCGGCCGTCATCGGTGCCCAGCTTGGCCGTGCCCATCCAGTGGTTGGCGCGGCGGTTGGCGGGCGACACGATCAGGCCGTTGACGTAGTCGGCCACCGTGCCGTTGGGCGGCGGGAGCACCCACTGGAGGTCCGGCACCTCGCTGAGCGCGTCCACCACCTTCTGGATGCCCTCAATCACGGCCTCTAGGTCGCCCTCGTCGTGCAGGTATGGGTGCTCAGCCACTGTCGTGGTCAGGCCCCGAGTGATGCCCATCTTGCCGCGCGACACGACGCCGCGGCCAAGGTATTGGCTGAGGGTCATAGCGTCTGGAGAGAGAAAAAGCAAGAAAGTCAGTTAATTGGTTCAGGAGTCTGACGAAAGACGAGAATGTGGTGGATGGGTGTCTTACGGGTCGAGTTGGTAAAGTCGCTGCTACCCTCAACACGGCAAGTCCACTGGAACTGGCGCGTGATGCCATCGCTAGGCGTAATTTCCTCCCAGATCTGCGTGCACCGTTAGTTGCATACGATTTCCAGGCGGAGGGGTTGAAAACCCGGGCTAATGCATACCATGGGGCCAATGTTGGGCGCAGCCTGGGCGAGAATGCCGGACCGCTCGTCGAGGTAGGCCGCCTTGTCATCCGCAATCGGCTCGTCCCAGGCCTCGTAGAAGTCATAGAAGACGACATCAGGGTGCGTGATGATGAGGTCAGTGTTGAGATGGTCGATGAGGTTGTGGCCAACGGGGAGGTTGATCCACTCCTCCTCAGGGGTGAAGTCCTCGCCGTCCTTGGAGGCGGCCACAATTTCGAGCTGATCGGAGGGGCCGATACCGCCTGAGAAACCGGGTTAGCCGGCACTTCCTTCAAAAGCAAACGTGGCCGCGGACAAAAAACTTACTGCGAAGGAGCAGTTTGGCGGAGCCGAAAGCGCCAGACGAGAAGATGACGCCACCGCCCTCGTTCAGGCTGACAGTGCCACTGAAGCCACCATCAGTGAGGCACTCAAGCTCGACTCCTGAGACCTTGCTGCCGCTGCGGACGGCCCTCCGAACGGCGGTGTTGGTCCACAGGTTGAAGTTGCTGCGCTCGGCGGCCGACGCAAGGTAGGTAGCCAGGGGACCACCGCGCTCACCACCCGAGAACATGAACTCGGTGTGCGCATAGGTGCGGTGCTTCTCCGAAGGTGCCTCATTGGCGCTGATCTCCTTGTAGCCGGCAGCGGCAAGACCGCCGGTGATGACCTCGAAGCCTTCCTGGCGGTAGCGCTTGCCATCCTGCGACGGGGTCGAGGTGCCGGGGATGCGCTCAAAGACACGATTGGTGGCGCCGGCGAGGTCGTCCGCCTTCCAGCCCTCAGGGAAGTTGTCGTCCCAGTCAGAGGGGTGGGGCTACGATAGAGTCAGTCATTGCCCTCTAGAATTTTTAAAGACTTGCGGTCTCAGAAAAAAAAAAACGCACCTTCCACCACAGACCAGCGTTGACAGCAGTGCCACCGCCGAGAACGCAGCCCGCCATCTGGTCGGTATCAGTGCAGGCAATGCCGGCAGAGTCGACCCAGATCTGGTTGCACAGGCCGGGAACGTCAAAGCGGGTAAGGTCGGTGCCCTCGAGCCACTCGGGCTTCAGGGTTCCGTTCCACAAGCCGGTCGACGGGGGTCCCTTCTCGATGAGAAGGACCTTGTGGCCGGCCTCGCTGAGCTTGTCGGCGACAGTGATACCACCGGCACCGGCACCGACGACGATGTAATCGTAGGTGTCCTCGGGAGCCGCAACGCACTCCTTCTCGCCGGGGCCGGAACTAGTAAAAGTGAGCCACTGCACGCCTTACTATGAAACCAAAGAACCTACCCATCGCAAGTGTTGGGGGGAGTGATGGTGGCGAGCGCAGCCCACTCCTCGTACGACTCCGAAGTCGCGCCCTCGAGGGCAGCGCCCCACTGACCGAAACCGTTATTGTGGAAACCGAACTCGGCCGTGTCGGGGCACGTAGGACCCGTCAGACCATCCGTGGCGGCGGCGCGGCCGAAGATGAGGTTGCCCTTGCTAGTCGAGACGCTGCCCGTGGTGCCGTCCTGGTCCCAGGCGAAGCAGTTCTCGCAGCGGAAGAGAACCTCGAAGCTATCCTCGCTGACGGAGGACGAGATCTGGGTCAGCTTGGCGTCGCCCGTGTAGAGGCCGGGGAGCGTGTAGCCGGTGGCGTAGCGGAACGATGTGTAGACGGTGTCCTCGCTGGCCCAGGCAACCAGCAGCAGCGCCTGGGTCATCTGGCCGGACTGGCCATGGGAGATACCGCAGTAGCCGGGCGAGGTGGGATCGGCAATTTGGCAGCGCTGCGAGAAATGTAAGCCTTTGAGAGCTTTGGTGTGTCTTGATGCTGCACTTAGCTTACCAGAAGACCAATGTACTCGGTCGCATCGTTCTCCAGCGCATCCGCAGGGAGGGTCAAGCCGAAAGTGAAAGGAGCCCCCTCGGCAGCAGTCCACGTCTTGAACTCGATGCCGGTGGCTTCATCAGTGTAGGTTCCCTCGGTCATCTGTGCCGCACATTGTTGCAGTGCTTTGAGCCGATATTAGCATTCTCTTTGGGCTGCTCTGAGGGCGAAAAAGCCAGTAAGCACTTACACAATGTCGCCGCCAGGGCGGTTGCCCCGATGCGGCTGAAGAGCTTCATTGTTCCAACGGAGCCAAAAGGTAAAGACTGGTCCCGTAGTCAGGCTAAGCCAAGGAAGACAAGCAGCCGTATCCCCACGATCGCCAGTCCCGGCGGGCGGAGGTGAGGAATAAATATCGGGCGCCCGGTTTGCTATGGCATACTCCGACGACCCTGGCCTGCACTCCGCATGCTCGCGAATGCGTCGACGGCACGGCTCTCCGGGGAAGGCAAAACGGATGGTCACCGATAGGATGGATCCTGCGGAAGAATGACAGCCTGGCACGCCTGCATCATGGCGGGGACGGGGCCAGATAGATTGGGCTGCAGGTCCGGAGTATAGCCTCATCCATAAACATATGGGATCGGCGCGTCCGCCGCGCGAGGTTCATATTAAAGGGACCGTGTAAATTGGGGAAGTAGGCGCGCGGTGGAGCTCTCCCCAAGCTTTTGCCAGGGGGTAAGCCAAGCTGATGGACAGGGGCGGCATGAAGAAGCGAGGGTGGGATGCGGAAGCAAGCGCCGATTTCGACCTGCAGGCCCAATTGCCCGCCCAATGGCCGCCCGCTGACCACTCTCGTCACGGCGCTCCCTCCGAACGCGAATCAACGACCTTGTCGATAGTTGTCGATACAGCGAGCGCATCATAGCATTAGTGTGCTTGCGGTAAGGTCAGCAAGCAAGTCCCGATAGGGCACGAGCTAATCGGCGTTTGCTGATTCGAGGGGAAACTTGGTGGACTTACGACCAAGGGATTCTTCTGCAGCGGGTCCGCAGCGGCCCGGATGCAACCTTGGTAGAGAACGCTTTCTGCAGGTAGTTAACGGTTTGATCGAGCGAACGTTCGGTGGGCCACGGCAGGAAGCTTCGGCTCAGGCTCGATTATCCGCTCTGTGTCACGGAGGGAGCCCGGATTTGCCATCGGACTCTTGAGGGGGCTCGTGAGCCGCCCTCTGCATTGTGTACAGCGAACGCGCTTGTCGGTCGGAAACTCGGGGTCCTGGGCTCGCGCTGTGTCCGGTTCTAGAAGAAATTCCCGTTTGGTGCTGGAAGCGGGAATGTTCCCCCACTTTGGATAAAATCCCCGGCCATGCCCAATGCCGTTTTGCTGACTCCCCAGGCACGTCAGGCCCCTCCGTCTTCATCTATCCTTGACCTCGAGAATTCTCCAGGGCCTAGCTGCCTGTCAAATCAGCCTATACCCAATCAACTTGCGTATAGTAAGCAGCGGTCCGACGGCCCAGTCGTCACGTGTGCCGTTTTCGCATGGCTCGGTAGATGCAGACAAGCATGTAGTATACGCACCTACATGAGGAAGTACAGATCCAGTAGCTGTAGCACTGCGAGGTGCTCGCCATGTTGGGATGTAGGTGAACGGAGGAGACTGGCGCCAGCCTCTTCACTTAACATCATTGGGAAGGTCGTCATCCTTCTTTCTACGCCAAAACGGCGAATGCGCTGCCGAAGAAATGTTGGAGACGAATGTGACAGGAGTTGGAAAAGCGCCTGAGCCTTAGTCAGCGAGAGTTGGAATGGTAAACGTTCCATTCGAATATGGGAATTGAAAATTTAATGAGATATCGAAGTAGAAAATGCGAAGGAGAAAAATGAAGGGTCGAGACCCACCGTTGATTGACAATTCAGTGGATTGTTATCAGGGCGAACCATCAGGAACCATCATTTCCAAGTTTAACGCAACCGGTTGTTGGAGCCCAAGCCTTTGGTGTTCAATTCGCCACTCGGGGGCTTCCCCCTCAAGAATCTATGTTTGAAGCTGGAGAAAGATCCGCTGACGGTAGATCCATGGAGTCTACAAGCAGTCAATTGCGA